AGTAGGTCTGGCTGTTCTCACTTAGACTAAATCAAATGCTTCTCAGGCTTCTCTTTCTAAACCATATTGTCCCTTCTGGGCCTTTTGGCTATATTTTATGAAATAACTGATGTTCTCTGTCTCCAGGGGACAATTTGTTACTGCTGCTATCAAAGGACAAACCATATGATCTAATACATCTCTTCCAATTCTGTCTTTTGAGGTTTCTATAATTTTTTTCAGAGATTCCTATTTTGTTCCCAAAGAATGGTTTTGTACCCTATGATTTGTCCCACTGATACTTCTTGGTCTGATAAAGACATTGCCTCTCCATAGAAACCTTGCCAGATACACTTGTGGAGAAGCATTGCTCCAGGGGCAGAGTGCATGGAATTATTTCATAATTTTTAAATTTTGGTAAAGTTCCAGAAAATGCACTTTTATTCCACTTTTTTCTATCCCTAGCATTACCTACCTACCATTACCTTCTATACCTCGCACTACTTGTGCTTTTCCCTCTTCCACAGCCCTACCTGCCATTGTCCCATGTCCCAGCCTGCCAAGCTCATCCTCACTGGCTGTTTGTGTGGAAGCAATTTTAAGAAAATGGTCTTTAGAGAAAAGCTGTGTCCCCCCAAGTCAGGCCTGGCCGCTCCAAGGCAGCATCAGAGATATAATCAGATCCTGGGACTGGTCATGCAAGAAATTTAAGTCTAGCCCAAGAGTCTGCATAGGCAATAGCTTGACCCATGGTTTTATCAAGCACCTATTTTGGCTGGGCACCAGAATGAGAGGATCTTGCAGATGAGCTTGCTCCCCGTGTAGCCTGTGCACGGGGCTTAATTGCAGGTGCGTTAGCATCCTGTTCTGAGCTGCTATTTGAAGGAAGGATCCAAAGGGAATGAGGGATTAGAGATCTGGGAGACAACCTGGCCCGGATTTGCTGTTAGAGTTTCCAATAAGGCTCTTGATTTGCCGCTTTGTTGCACTATTCTGGATGTCCCACCCGGAGCTGCCTTTGGGTCTCTGCAGAACTGCAACAACACCGGGGGAAGGGGAAGAGGTAGAAGATAAAAACAAGCACTTTGTTTTTTTTTTCTGGCCTGAAAATTTTCCGGATTTCCAGAAATATATAATATTACAGATAAATACACACACACATACATATATATCTATATACTTTTTTCCCCATAAACCTCAACTGCTTTTGCTGCTCCTGTAGGAGGGTGGTTTTTGAAATATCCCTTCCAAAGCTGGGATGGATGTTTCCAGTGTAGGGGCTTATTAAGTTCCTGCAGCAGCTGTTTCCAAGGTTGCTTTGTAATATATTTCTTTGCAAGAGAGTAAGAATGGCAGAGGGGCTTTGCAGATAAGGATTTGAATCACAACCTTTACACTGGAAGTGTAATAGGAACGTCAGGGAATTAAATAAAATTATATTTTTCCTAGATGTCTGCTTTAAAAGGAAATTCAGGATTTTATGGATGCCCCAGAGACAAACTATTATATTATATTCCTCGCAGTTCTTATTTGAGTTCTGTCTGTTTGAGTACCACAAATAGCACAGAATCATTCATAAAGAACGGGCAAGAGAGACTGTGTCCCATCAATATTTCAAGCTTGGTTATCAAATCAAGAGAAATTCATGAGTTCTGCTCCAGCTCAACGTTTTCAGGTTTGATACTATTGTTTGACAGTTTAGGGGGGTTTCCCTCTGCATTCTCATTGTCTTTAATATTTTATATAATCTTCCAGTTGATGCTATTGTAATATTTATTAATTTTTTTTCCCCTTGGCTGCACTAACCAGTTTTTTCTTTTCTCTTTCAGCAGGGTGAAATTCACACTCATTTGCTATTTGTGGGGTGATGACATAGTGTGAAGAAGCAGTAATGATGACTGACTGATAGAAGACACCATATGTTCTCTTCATTTTTCTCTGTGCTATTTTCTGAGAGATGAATAAAGACTCAGTATAAGATGAACTTTCCTATAATATGTAATTTTTAAAAATTACTTTTTTTCCCCCCCAAATAATTGTCAGAATGGGGGAAATAATCATGTTTTCTAAAGCATTCAGACAGTACTGCTATAAATATCAATCTCCAAATGACCAAGATAAATAATTTACAGTCTCTTCCACCAGAAATATTTAACATGTATCTAAGTACCAAAACCAACTTTACAATTAATTTCACTCACCCCCAACTGTTTTCCAGCTTTCCACAGAAAACATTCTGAAAATATAAGTTGCATTTGCTGATGACTAAGCAAAGGTAAACAATTCCTTCCAGTTTTAACAGAAATTAGAATCTATATAGGACTCTTAAGTGACAGTCTGCAGTGTATAATAACCAGAAATCCTGATTAGAAGCACAGTACTAGTACTCCTAGATCACAATAATACTGGATTATATGCTGGAATGTTTCTTTGCACCCTGAGTGTATGAGTCTGTGCAACTAATAAAAAAAAGATTCCCTTCAATAAATATTGCATTTACTGTAATGTGTTTTAATATCAAAATAATTAGAAATCTCATTTCCTAGAAACAACTGAATAAAAATCTTTCATTGTTTTAGCATATGCATTTATGAAGTATATTCTTTTCTTACATAAATATTTTCTTCCTTTTTTTTTTTTCCTGTTCTGTCCTCTTAGCTCATTCTACCCTCTCAAAGCCAAGGTTTTGTGATTGTTGCTCTTCCTCCTAACTTTATAATAGCCACTAACTAGCCCCAGACTACTGCAGAGTCATACACATCTGCTTATATTATTAAGCAGTCAGGAGCAGAAACAAAGAAGTAAACAAAAGGGATTCACGTTGCCTTCTGTTCCACTGGAGACAGAGAGGGAAAACAATAAAAATCAATCCTCTCAAAGACAAAAATAACCCCCCTAAACCGTTGGTTTGAGATACCTTTTTTTTTCAAATTCTCCAGAATTTTTTTGCAAGTAACGGAGCTCAAATTGAAGAAAACCATAATTGCGAGCCTTGCAGGCAGCAGGGCAGAGAACTCGCTCTCACTGACCTGGTGCCAGGACTCTTGTTTGGAGCTTTGTTTTCAAGGTCATTCATTTAAAGCATTTTTCATAACACACCCTGAATAAAGAACACAGAGCCACGTTCTGCTCCCCCTGCTCACAGAGGCGTCCACCACGAGAGCCACACGAGCAGGAGCTGGCCCTTGGAGGACAGTGCTCTCCCCGGTCACCTGCCATGGCAACAGACATCGAGGAATGTTTTACATTTGTTGTATGCAACTCACTTTCCCCAGTTAGACTTACTCTTTTTGCTGTGACAGCTTATGTGCCCTGCGCCGCAGAGAGTGGGACAGAAGGTGCTCAGGTAAAGCAATGATTGCAGTTTTCACGTGTTATTCTTCCTTTGAACTCCAAGTGGCATGAATGCATCTTCCCTTGGAAAGCCATATCACGTGCACCTTTTTCCCCTATGACAATAGAATTACATAAAGTCTGGCCTCGAAATGCTCAATCAAATATTCCATCCTATCAGCAAAGAACTGGCTTGCTTGAGGACTACACAACTGGGTCCCTAATCAATACTTTAATAAATAACACCTACTTAGTCAGAACAATTGATTGATGGGGAGCAGGCTAGGTATAATGTATTTCTGCTAATCTAGTCACAGGATAAATGTCATAGTTTATTTATAAGACACACCTGAAACTATTCTGAGGGCCGTGGAGAGGCTCCATCTTGACACACATTTTACACTAAGGCTGGATGGCAGGGACTCAACACAACACATCTGGCTTTGTTTGTTGGCAAAGCCCGCTCCCGCTGCCTCGGGGCTGCCAAACCTCAGCTCCGTTGGCTCCCTGGCAGCAAGGGCAGCTCCTGGGACCCGCACTCCAGAAGCTGAGGAGTGAGTGCAGGACACCCCCTCGATGCCCAGGCTCGGGGGGGGGGGGGGGCTATTTAATCTACTTCTGGTGTTTCTTAATTTCAGCCAGTAGCCACTTCATTACAGTAGCAATAGCCAGGCATGCCACCGAGGCCACTCCTGGGGATCACAGTCATACTCTGGTTTTGCTCTTATTAGACTCTTTTATTTTGCTGCACAGACATGCTCAAGAAACCTCCCAGTATTTTAGGGTGGGAAATATCCAGCAGAGAGTGCAAGAGGCTCCTTCTCTGCAATTGCTCCACAGTCCATACCCAGGCTCAAGACAAGGCACCTTGGTGCCCATCATGCCCCGGCTACAATGAGCCTGCTCCGATTTATTGTTTGAGGGCACCACCACTTCAATTCTCTTCCACTTAGTTCTACTGTGTCTGCCCTTGGGGCGTGTGTTCACAATCGCCTCCTTTTGGGAGCAAGTGTGGGCCACCGATCTTCCCAACTAGTCTCAAAACACATACATTTTCTGTAACGATGTCAAATTGCAGCCCGCAGGAGACGCCCGGCAGGATGCTCGTATCCACGCTGAGGATACGGAAAAGCCTCCCTGCCCCGCTCCTCCCAGAGGACACCCGGCAGCGGGGGCGCAGAGGGTCTCCCAGCAGGCTGCCCGGGACCTCTCCTCCCTCCCCGCAACTTCCCGCTCGGGGTTTGCGGTATCTCGGCGGGAGCCGCGCGGGCGGAGGCTCGGGATGCAGGAGCCGGGTGCGCGCAGGGCGGTCACCCCCGCGCCGGCAGACACCGCGCTCGGCCCGCTGCGCGCCCGGCTCTGCCCTTCGCACGCCGCCCGAGCCGGGAGGGACGCGCCGAGCCCGAGAGGAGAGCGGAACCCTGAGGGGCGGCGGCTCCGCCCGCGGCGGGGGAAGATGCGCGGGGGAGCGGCCGGGCCGGGGGCGCTCCCGGCGGAGGCCGCACCTGATCCGGGAGGTGCGCGGGGCGGGGGCCGAGCGGAGCGGGGAGCGGGGGGGCGGGGAGGGGGCGGCGGCCTCCCGTCTCCGGGCGGGCTGTCCCGCTTCACTCTCTCCTCCCCGCCGAGCATCGCGGGCGCGGAGCCGCGGCTGCGGCGCGCAGGGCGGCGGCGGCGGCGGCGGGAGCGGCGCGGAGGATGCGCTGAGCGGGCGCGGGAGGCGGCGCGGCCGCGGCAGGTCAGTGGTGAGACCCCCCTTCCCTTCCCCTCCCCGGGCCCGGGATGCCCTGCGCCCCCCTGTCCCCCCGCACCCCCGGCCGCTCCCCAACTTTTCCCCGCACCACTTCGGGAAAGTGCCCAAACTTGCGATGGGGACCCTCGTCCCGTGTCCCCCCGTTTCCCCGGCGGCGCGACCCCCTCACCTCAGGGCTGCCCTGGCGGAGCCGTAATTCGCAGTGCCGGTGATGGGGGGTGGAGGGGCGGGGGCCGCGCTCGGGGCCGTCTCCGTGCGGGTCGCCCCAGGGCTGCGGCGCGGCCCCTCCGCCCCATCCCCTCAGCCCCGTCCCCTCAGCCCCGTCCCCTCAGCCCCGTCCCCTCCGCCCCATCCCGCTCCGCTCCCGCCGCAGCCGGGCGGGGCCGGCCCAGCCCCGCTCGTGCACCGGGACACAACTCCAGGTGAGGATGGAGCCGGCGGCTCCGCCGGGCTGCGACTGCTCGCGGGTCCGGGTCCGGCGTGGGTTTGTGTAGCGAGAATAACGGGATTCAAAGCAAACTAGTTGATAAATGCAGGCGTCTCCCTAGATTGGAATCCCAGCGCTGCCGGAGTTCAGCCTATGAGAGCAGGAGCGGTGTGAGGGGACAGGAGGGCACTTTCTCATTTCTGGAGTTGTGTGCAGAGGGCGGGGGTTTGCTCTGGGCTCTGCTCTCCCAGAGGAGCACTTCTCGGCACGTCCCGATCCCCCCGCCCCTGCTCGGCGACACGGGCAGCCCGCACCTTGCGAAGCCACTTTACACCTCACCCAACCCTCCAGAACGGGCAGATTCAAACCCCTGCGAACACACGGCAAAGGGTAATTTGTCCAAGTGTGTTAGCCCCAGTGTGCTAGAGATGGGCAACCGGACAGCCCCGGCACCTCGCTGACACCTGGGATTCCCCAGTGTTGGTTGTGCAAGTTGCCAGAAACGAGGTGACACTCGGTCATAGCTGCGTGGTTATTTTTTAAAGCTTTCTGAGGGGTTAGGAAAGCCCTTATTGTAATTGTATTATAACGTTGCTTTCTGCCTGTAGCTGACTTGTGTTGCGTGCAGATTAACATGCTTAAAAAAGCCTAAGGATGCTCTTTTTTTTATTATTTATTTTATGTTAGATGCTTACCCTGAAACACTTGTATTTTATTGCAAGATTTAAAAGTTGCAGCTCTTCAGAGAATAGGCTGAACAGCAGTGAGAGAAGGTGAATGGTAAACCTGAACAGTCTCAGAAGTGAAAATTGGAAATGCCGCTTCTAAATCCGTTTTGTTTATTAATGATGCTCACCATTTGAGGGAAGTGATATCCCCAGTTTATCCTGGGAAGATTTCATTTTGTCAGATGCCTGGTGTCTCATCAATTCCTTTCATGTCCCTGGGATTTTCTCTCTTCCAGGCTCAGGCCACAGCAGCTCTCTGTGTTGGGGATAACAGTTAAGCTCTTCTTTTGAATTCATGAGCTTCCAAATTAAACTTTTGCTGACACCTGCTACCTAGCCTGGTTGAGCAGAATGACAGTGTCAGCCCGGCTACTGGAGATCTGCCACCAAACAAAGTAAATCACAAAAAAAAATAAGTGTAAAGTGCCTGGACTGGGTCACACAGTGATTTGGGGGAGCTCTGGGAAACTCTGGCTACTGGAAATCCAATCAAAGTCGGCTTCTAATGGAGCAAACTTTCCAACAGCAATCAGAGGCAGGAATTAAATCTATAGAGTAGATGGTAACGGAGATTAATAATCATCATCAATTAGCTGATGGAATCAAACAGAACAAAATGAGGGTAAACAAAAACCTGGCTCCCCCTCCCTCTCGAATCCAGTCCCACCTTTATTTATCCAGAGTCAAGGATCTCTCCTGAGCACTGATTTCAAGTGCCAAAAAATTTAGCAGGTGTCATAACATAAGGTCAAGGCTTAATTATTTATACAGAGACATCAATCATCGTGTGGGGATGATTTATTTATAAATCACCAGAGCTGTCGCACAAGACAGTGAATTCTGATTTCCTCCTGCTCCTTCCTGAAGGGGACCAGGAAGGTCCATGCTGTGGCTGAGTGACCTCTGGAGCCTGCAGAAGTCTCTGCCCGGCCCCACGTGGAGAAGGCTTTTTTACACCTTTTAAGTTGTGCAACCAAAATGTCACCAGGGAGATCTCATGCATATTTGCTACATCTCAGTAATGAACATTTACTGATTATCTGGAGAATTTAGCTTTTTAAATATTATTCAAATTTTTATGTTTATGTAAGCTAATAAGACTGAGGAGATTCATTAACTACTCTTTGCCTTATGGTATTTGAAAAGTGCATCCATTGGGCTTAGCTCAGCATCTTCCAGAATCACTTTTAAAAGACTAAAATAGAATCTTTCTGCCTGAAAAAAACCCACCCTCTCTGTGCTCAGTATAATGTTCTTTGCTCACAATTAATGCCAAAAATCAATTTTCTCTCATGCTTTTTATGTTTCTGCTGATCACAAACAGGATGGCACAGTAAAAGCTTTTATTGCCGTCTGATTAGTCCACAGTGGTGGTGGGTAAATAGCTTGGGCTGGTATGGCTGCAGGATTGCTGTGCTGGAAGCAGCAAATACAGAGGAGGGCATGGGGTGCTGAGCACCAGCCCTAAGCCCGCTCTCAGGGTCATTCAGAGAGATTTTATCCACTGTTTGGGCAGAAGCACGATCAGGCCCCTAGGTTTTCTGACAGCTGGACAAAGTAACAAAAGCTCTTGGGATGTTCCTGAACCTCCTCTTTTGGGATTTTGATAAAAGGTTGATTATAGCCAGATATTCTCAGAGATTTGCCCGTTTATTTATCTGTTGAGAGAAATCATGCTTCTGATCTTATTTACATGACTGTTTTTCAGACAGGGAGGTGATTAACTTTGAGTGAAACTGGTAAAGAAAAAGGTGGAATACAGAAACAGAGAGATGGAAAGGAAAGTTGTGGTGAAAATAAGTAGATCTAGGAGAAAAGGTTTCCTTTGCTTTTCTGTCTTTATCCTGTAAAACTGTATAGCCCAAACCTATAAACTTTACCATTAAACAAAGAGGAGCATGAGAAGTATCCAGGGCATCTCGTGATCTTTCTGAACTTCATGGCAGGACTCCATTTTGGCAAGAACAAGTCAATAAGCTCTCCTGCACATCCATTATTTTGTTCCCACTGATCTTAAAAGAGGACCATTTATCATTGCATTTCAGTGACAGAAATACTAAAATAATATTTCACTGGGTTTGTAAGAGGGTGTAAAAAAAGGATGGGTGAGCTGGCAATGTCTTCAAGGAACAATTAAGACATTAAGACTGTGGGAAAATATTTTTAGACATTAACTAATCAGTGAGAAAATAGGAATTTAGGACCCAATTCAGTTATGAGATGTTCCTCGAGCACCCTCTGGATTTTGCCCAGAGCATGTGAAAAAATGAAAAATTCATAGTATTTCTGGTAGGCAAGACCAGTCATATGCTTGTGTATTTTTATGGTATACTGGGTATATTTATAGCATTTAGTAATGCCAGCAACGTTCAGTATAAAGAGTAACAGATGAATGTACGTGAAACAAGGCACTGGCGAGGCAGGTGGGAAATGATTTCCAAAATATTGCGGCAACCAGGCTGGGAGAAATGTAGTAAGATGGTAAACATAATATAATAGACCTAAGCAGCTTTAACCAAAGCCAGGGTTAAAGCCTCAGCTTGAGCCAGGCTGAGCCCTGTGCGCAGGTTCCAGAGGGGAGGAAAGCCAGGACTCGCTGTGCAAGCCCCACCAAAGATGGCTCCACAGAGCTCCAGCCCCGGCACATCCAAAGGCAAAAGCGGCAATAAAATCACAGTCGAGTGCAAAGAGGAGGAAGGAGGGGAATGAAATTGTATTGGCTCAACTGCAGGAAACAAATCACAGATTTCCCTAATCAGACAGATGATGCCTAACTGGGGCACAACGGAACCACAGAGGAAGGTGGCAGATTTCACAAATTAGTCATGGCAAAAATGGTGAATTTCACAGCTTGAAGTGAATTCATGTTATAGGATGAAACAGCACAAAGTGATTAAGAGCTCTAACTGATAGGAGCAATAAGCATGTGAGACTTAGTCATCACACAGCAGCTGACATTTCTCTCTGGCTTTGGCTGAGGCACAGGAGCAGCACCTTCAGCCTCCAGTTTCTGATGCTGAGTGGGAGCTGGTGGGGACAACCACAAACAAACGAGGTCCCACAGAGGCTTCCAGGAATTTTCTGTTTCTGTGAAGCACAACCATGGCAGTCCAGCGGGAGCTGGAGCAGCCGCTCTGCAGGGAGATGTTCTGCAGGCACAGTCCCTGCTCTCAGTGCCACCACTGTAACCTGGAGCTGTGGCTTCAGCTGTGGAGCACACACTGTGAGAGGAGCAAATCAGAGGACAGCAGGGCCCCATCTTCACAGCATGGGAAAAGCAGAGAGGGAGAACAGCCGAGAAGGGTTGGAACACGGGGGGGGACACTGTTGCAGCAGACCCTGCCATGCTGGGGATGACCTTCCAGGTCTGGCAGTGCCATTTTTGGAGCCATTAGGTGTTGGCATGTGCCACCTCATGGTAACCACGCCACAGCATCCATCCCTAATAGTAAACAACCATGACACGGTCCGTTCAGTGGCTTTCTTTGGAAAACCTCCCGATTCCCATTCTTTCAGGGGATCAAAACCAATGTCCCAAGTCTCTCTCACAGGTGGTGTTAAACGACTTTTGCTGGCAAAACTTTTCAATAGCTGTTACAGCACTTTGGAACCTTACCCTACCATTTATAACCCTGCTTAGATGAAGACAAAAATTCTGGAGAAAAGTGTCACCATTCTGTCTCAGTTCTCTTGATTCAACGTACCCTCTTCTGTCATTACTCTTGAAAATCCATAGAGCAAAATGGAAGCAAAGTGAGCTGATACCAACCAGGGCAAGGCCACCCTGGGGAATTCCTCCTCTGGCAGCATAAGCCTTCAAACCCTTCCCC